GGGGATGTTTGGCCTCGAAACAACTCAAGGAGGACGCAACCCCTTACATCTGTGGAATGACAGAGGAACTGGTCGTGTTCTAGTTGACTGACCAGGGCTGTTTTACTCTGATGTAAAGGAAATACTTCCTAGGAATCAGAAATGTCTACCAATAGATCACATTGTGCTGCACTGGTAGTGAGATCCTCCTCACTGGTAGTCTTCAAGCAGAGGCCAGATGAGCTCTAGCCAATTTTCTTTGTCAAAGGGAGTCCTGGTTTGGGTCAGGTGGAAGTGGACAATCTCCTTCCAGACAGGAAGCTCTGCACTTATGTGAATCTGTTGCTGTGGAAGGAGAGCACCTGACTTCCCTATTCTAGCCTAGAGCACTGGGGGTTGGGCCCTGCTGATCCTTCCAGATAATAGGCCCTTCAGGACTCCTGGGGTTGTGAGCTCTGCCTTGTCAAGGCATCGAGGTCTAGGCCCACTGGAGGCCCCAGTACGGAATGCCTCACCCCTAATTACTCTGAGGGAGCAGGGACTAAACTCACCTGTAGAACCAACAAGTGGGGGCTCCAACCCCCCAGGGCCCTGACAGACCAGCCCAGCCCAGGGAACCCCATACAGTTGGTAAGACGGTGAGTCAGGGATTCCTCACTCTGTGCCCTCCCCACCCCAGGGGCCAAGGGGTAGGGCCTCAGCCTCAGGAGAGAGACAGGTATGATGGCCTCAGCCAAAACAAGCTATTAACTCTCCTAGGACTTCACCAGTTAGCCCTCTCTTCATCCTCCCCTCCACTGCAATTGAAGTACCTTTAACCTCTTCTCTTCTTCCGGGGTCTGGCCTCCCTTCTCCCCTACTGCTATCTCTTTCTCTGCGAACATCCACACATACTCGTCCTGTGACCTAGGGGTCCCAATCTCCCCAGTTCTCCCTCTTCCCCACCTCCATCTGACTAGTCTCCTGGGATCTCACCTACCTTTCTTGATTGAGACTTATGCCCTCTCTCCCCTCCCGGTTCTCTGGGGCGCTGTCCCAGGTGCCAAGAGGCCCACTGGAAGCTGGAAGAGGCCCGCCCCTGGAGGAGCTACCAGGTGAGCAGCCCAGGGCAAGAGGCGGAAGGGGATAGAGGGCTCTGGGGGACTGACGGGACTAGGGGGCCCTCCGTCCTGCCCCCGCCCCTGCCCTGCCCTACCTAGCCCAGCCTGGAGATCCGGATCAGGTGACTCCAGAGCTGGAATTTGACACCAGACGGGTGCCGCTGCGAGGGCAAGGAGCTGTACGAAGAGGGATGGAGCTGGGCTCAGCCCCTCAGACGGGCCCCCAAAGCCTGCAGTCCTGGCTAGCCTCTGGTTTCTCTCTCCGAGACCCGCCGCTTTCTGGGCGCGGGGCCACCTTGTGCCCACCTCCACACGCTGACCGGTGAGTTCCGCCGTGGCCCCTTTTTCCACGGTGCCCGACCTCCACCCCCACCCCCTCGGCTCCCGGGGCCCTGACAGGTTGGGCCATATCTCCCCAGTACGGAGCAGCGGCTCCGGGTTCGGCCCCCGCCCTCCTCCTGCCCCATTCTCGAGGGCCGTCCAGTCCGTCAGCGAGTCGTGTAGTCCATCCCCTCTGCCTCAGCGGATCCCGGAGTTCTAGCAGAAGGGGGCCCTCCCTTGGTTCGGGGTCAGGCAGCTGCCCCCCCCCACCCCCGGAAGGAAGAGGCGGGCCCCAGGCAGAGAAGTAGCCAGTCGTGCAAGCCACGATCCCCTTGGCGGGCGTCTGTCCAGCAGCCACCTCCTCAGACGTCCCTCTACTCCCTCCCTCCCTCTGTGGCCCGGGACCCCTAGTGCCCCCACCGGACCCCTAATCCGCTGCCGCCTCCTCCCACGCCCCCTTCCAGCCCGGCCCAGCCCCGTCCCGTCCCGTCTTGCCCCGCCCCGCCCGGCCCTGCCCGGCCCTGCCCCGCGCTGGCTGCCGGTAAGACCGCCCCCCTAGCTCCCCAGCCCCCTGCCCGCCCGCCCGGCCCCCAACCCGCCCCTCGCAGGCAGTAGTAACTCGAGTTCCCGTCGCGGCCTCAGGGAGCCCAGTTGGGCTCGGTGCAGAGCTGTGGCGGGCAAGCGGGCGGAAGCCCCAGGTGCGGAGCCCCCAGGTGCGGAGCCCCGACATGATCCCGCGGAGCTCTGGCTCCTAACTGGGCGTCCCTAGGGACAGGGGCCCAGGACGCCGACACCGCTGCTCAGAAGGAGAAGGTAAGTACCTGCGGCCCCGGGGGAAGTCCTTGAGCCTCCATGGCTGGCTCCCTAAAGGGTCCAGGAGGAGCCGGGAGGAGAGGTTAGCCGGCCTGGCATGGCATGGAATGGGGGCGTGGAGGGAGACACTGCCCCCCTTGAACCTCCTGCCCACTCCTACCCCCCACCCCACTCTCGGTGGGGCTGGGAGAGCCTAGTAGGCAGAGCCCTGTGGAAGTATGCCTGCCCTTTGGGAAGCAGGGGTGGGGGGGGAGGCGCGTGCGGCATCAGCATCTTCTTCCAAGAGCAGGCCCAGCTGGGAAGGGGGAAGGTGAAAAAGGATGCTGCCCTCAGGGAAAGACCAGAGGGCTAAGGCCCAGCCTCTTTCCTCCCAGCTCCCAAGCTAGGGGAGCCCTAGGGAGAGAACTCTTAGAGGCAGCAGCATGGGCTAAACTTGATGCTAAGGGGGCCAAGGGGACATCAGCAACTCCCAGGAGATCAGGCAGCAGCAGGTGCCACAGGAATAGGGGGTTGGGGTAAGGGAAAGAAGCCTTGCTGATGGCCTATCTAGGAAGGCTTCCTGGATGAGGGACGAGGGGTGAAGACTCTTAAAGGCCAGGAAGGGGAGAGGGTGATACCATCTAGAGGGAGGGAGGAAGCAGGCCAGCTTGGCCTGACCAGGGGCCTTAAGGATCCCCAAAGCTCCAAATTGGAAAGGACTTAGACATCCACTTAGGCCAACCCAGAACTACCACCACATCCCCCCAAAGTGGCCATGGAGGCTGGTTGGGCCCCATTAGGCCTTACATCTTCTCCCCACTCCAGGCTGACACAGCAGCTTGGCCCTAGAACTAGATGAGTAGTTCAGATGGGGACCACGGGGAGTGGTCCTGCCACCCTCCACTAATAGTGCTTTGGACCTTTCCAATCAGGGGCTGCCCACATGTCCCACCGGACTGAGGCTTCGGTTTTCTGGGGGCAGTTCCAACAGGTAACATCATCCGCAAAAGCCCCAGCCTATGCCTGGGGTCATCATTAGGCCTGCAGCGTTGGGACGTCTGACTTCTGACCAGGTTGGCAATAAACGTCTCATGTCTCAAAACCCAATCAAGGAGGGAAGGACAGATTGGTTTGGCTGGGAGTGTCCGGTAAGAAGGTCAGAACAGGACAAGTCTGGGCAAAACACTGTCAAAAAGCCAAAGGGGAGCACCTTAAGTTGGAGCTCCTGTGTGCTAGGCCAGGACTGAGGACTCAAGGTGAAAGGCTGGGGGCTCAGGGCTAGAGGGACCCAGTGGTGCCATGGAATGACCCAGGGCTCCAATGCAGGAGGACTCAGGGACATCCTTGGGAGCTATCTGGATAGAAGTCTGCCCCATGGTGGGCATATAGCCAGAGCCTTGCATCTTGGATCCAGTGAAAACTCGCCAGCCCACCCCACCTCCTAGGGCTCTGCAGAAGAGCCCCAGACGAGAGAGAGCCTAAGGCCCTCCTGGAGGGCAAAGACAATAAAGGGACCAAGATGGGCATGTCTGCCTGGGGCTCATGGCCTAACAACAGGTGGAAATTGCAGAAGGGACCGGGCCAAGGCTGCTGACCTCCCTAGTGATCAGGCAGAGGCTGTCACCTGGTGGCCACTCTGAGGTACAGCAGGGCCTCCTCTCAGGGCAGGCGAAGCCACTTTCTTAGCAGCCTTCACAAGGTGCATGGGGGCATGGTGGGGAGACTGAGGAACAGCATGTGTCAGTAGTTACCCAAGCTCTGGTTTTAGCCTATGCTCTTGTTCAGGTCAGTATGACCTGCCATTTGCAACTAGAATGACACATGTGCCTTGACGAGGCTGCTCTTGAACCCAGGCCAAAGGTGGGGATGTGGGGCACATGTTTCACAGAAGTCCTGGCCAGGTAAGGGCACACAGTCCTTGTCTGATTCAACCTACCTATGTGGCTGAAGGTTTGTTTCTTTATTAATCCGTGCCTCCATTTACTCCCCTGTCATAGTCATCTCTGTCCTGCCTTCTTCCCAAGGTTGATTATACATAATTTCCATTTCTCCAGCACTCTGTACCTACCCAGCACTTTCCCTACATCACCCTGCCCCTGGCAGGCAGGTAGCATCCATATATCACCCGCATGTTACATATGAAGAAGTTAAATCACAGAGAGACAACTGGCCTTTCTCCAAGTTCCCCAGCTCGGGAGGGACACAGCTAAGGCCAGAATTCACTTGAGGATCCAGAAAGAGAAGAAGTGACGGAACCCCAGACATGAGAGAGTGAGCACAAAACAGATGAGGCTGACCCCAGTGTTCTAGGTTCAGGCCCCTTGGAGTCATGCTTGGCCCATCAGCTCAGAGCCATAGAATGTGACGCCTCGAAGGACCTTTAGAAATCTTCTCATCTACCTCCTCCCCTTTTTACAGAGGAAGACACTGAGGAATGATAATACCTAGCATTTCTAGAGTGCTTTAAGACAAAGTGCTTTACAAACACCTTGTTTTGTGCTCACAACAACCCTGGGAGATAGGTACTATTATTATATCCATTTTATAGATGAGGAAACTCAGGGAGACAAAGTGACTTGCCCAGGGTCACACAGCTAGTAAATGTCTGAATCTGGATTTGAACTCAAATCTCCTTCACTTGGGTCCAGTATTCCATCCATTCTCCCACCCAGATGCCTCAGACAGCCGAGAGGAGGGTGAGAGTTGCTCCCGAAGCCCCCACTCCCCACCCCAGTCCAAAGCAAAGTAGAAGGTTGGGCTGCAGATGTCCTGCTTCTCCTTTCAGGGTTCTTCTCCTGTATGGTGCTTTCCCCTTTGGTTGGGGGTGCTGGCAGCTAGAGGGAGGGGCAGAAGAGGAGGGGTTCAGAAGCCAGCAGCCTCTGGAGGACCAAGATGGTGTGGAGAAGGAAGACCCCCAGAGACCTTCCCAACAGACTGGTCAGTGGCCAAGCCCTTCTCTCCCTCAATCCTTTCAGGGCCGGGGTACCACTGAGGCTTGGGGGAAGGGCCTCTTGGAGTCCAGGCTGAAGAGAGAGGAAGACCTCATTAGTAGTAGAGGATGGGCAGAATACTAGCAGAATATTAGGCTGACAGCAGGGCCCTGGGGAAGAGACCCAGGGGAAAGGTCCAAGAAGGGGAGAGAACGAGGGGGCAGGAAGAGCCTGAGGGGTGGTTGACTTTGAGGAGAGCTCCAGTATAAGAGTGGGAGGGATCCCAAAGGAGAAGAATTTAGAAAGGGTGGGCTAAGGTTGCCTGGCATAGGAAAGGTGAAGGCAGAGGTCTGATGGGGCTTCTAGCTTTAAATTCCTAAAGTGCAAGTCTGACCCTCCTCAGACTCCTTGGCTCCCTATTACCTCTAATATCAAATATAAAAGCCTCTGTTTGGTGTTTTAACCCCTTCCTACCTTTCCAAACTTCTTTCTTTTTAATCTCCTGCATACTCTCTTTGATCAAGTGGCACCAGGCTTACTTGCACTTCCTCACACACAACACTCCATCTCCTGACCGTGCCTTCACACTGGCTGTGTGCCCCATGCCTGGACTGCCCTCCCACTGCACTTCTGCCTCTCGGCTTCCCTGTCTTGCTTCTACACTCAGTCTAAACCCCAACTTCTTCAGGAAGCTTTTTAGCTGAAAGGCATTGGGATGGGATAGTTTGGGGGAGATAGTTAAGGGAGTATAGGGTGCTGGGTGGGGTAAGACTGAGGAAGGTCTTGGGTCTCAGGACAGAGTCTGGGACTGGGGGTGGGGAGAGTAGGGCCCCTGGGCTCCAGACACTCAGTCCTCATCTCTCCATCCCACTGGCCCACACACCTCATAGTCTGCACTCACCCCAAGGTCAGCATTGTGTGAAAGGGATGAGGCAACCTGGAGAGGAGGGACCAGGAGGAAGAGGATGGGTGGGGAAAATGGGGAGGGGTGGAGCCAGCTTGGAAAAGCCTTGGATGGGCAGAACATCTGGAAGGGCTTGGTAGGAGCTAGCAGGAGGGGAAGCTAGGGAGGCACAAGGCAATTTGTGCTTGGAGATGAGGCTTCAGCTAATGGGGACAGCTTCTAGCCATGACCCTGTCCCCTCTCTCCCCTACACACTTACATCTCTTTCCTCCCTCCTGTAGGCACCCCTATATCTGAGCCCAGTCCTAGGGGCCCTCCTCATGCTAATGCTGATGCTGATGCTGCCCCTGGCCCTCTGCAGCCCTGGCCCTAGGGTGCCCCTCATTGGAACCCTTAAACCTGGTGCCCAGGTCCTGCCTGGTGAGTGAATTCTGGGGGTAGGAGCATGGAAAGGAGAAAGAGGGGATAACAGGACTTACCAGATTCCTTTGCAGGTTCCTGGGGGCCAGAAGAGATGAAAGTTGGAGGTGGGGTTGGGAGGATTCTGGTGTGGGCTCCCACCAAGGACTCCATCCCTCTCTTTCAGAGGCAATCCCAGGCACCCCCAAGCCCCTGAGAGGAGGTCGAGGGCCAAAGCCAGTGCTGTCACCCCTGCTACAGAGCCAGGTCCAGGCCCAGGGCAAGACTGGCCAACGGGAAAGAGGCCGAGGCCAGAATCAGAGCCAAGGCCGTAGGAGGGCAAAGCTAGATTGCCACCTGCGCACAGAACTGGTGAAGGTGCATGAGCTGGGCCTGGGCCATGACTCTGATGAGCTGATCCGATTCCAGTACTGCAGCGGGGCCTGTCCAAAGGTCCGCTCCAACCATGACATCAGCTTGGCACACCTGCTGCGCTCCGGCCGTCTACGCTTCACTGCCCAGCCTGGGAGAGGCTCTATGCGGGTGCTTAGCCACCCCTGCTGCCGGCCCACAGCCTACAAAGCCGTCTCCTTCATGGACGTCAGCAACACCTGGAGGACAGTGGACAGCCTCTCTGCTGCTGCTTGTGGGTGCCTAGGCTGAGGGCCAATGGGCCTCTCCTGGAGCCCAAAGTCATCAGCAGCCCATCTCCCTGGGCCTTGACCTACCTACCTGCCAGCTGGCTAGGACAGCGGGGCAGGCAGCCAGCGGAGAAGCCCTCCAAAAGGCCTGCTGGACCCTGGGAGCAGAAGAGAGGGACAGCTGCCGGGGGCCAAGCCCCCAGGCCCTTGGCAGGGCAGCCACAGAGTGCCAGAGGAGCCTGGGGAAAGGCATTACTTGTGACCCTGGGCCACACCTAAGGCTGAGTAGAGCCAGGCCCTGGAGCAGCCTCTTGGCACCTGGGGCAGCTATTTATTACATAAGTTATTTATTTATGCCCCGAGGTCAGAGGAGAGAAGGCCAGTGGCTCAGGAAGGTCCAGGAGTTCTGGGATGGTATAAGATCAGCCCTGATCCCCAGTGACATAGGAACCAGCCTCCAAGCCCTGTACAGGGCCTAGAGCACAGGGCTGGATACAGGGACCTCCCCACTCCACTGTAGCTGAGCACCAGCTATAGCCAATGGGTGAGTGGGGAGGGGACAAGAAAGAATACAGGGTTGGGAGGCCAAGTTCCTGCCCCCTCCTAGCCATGTGACCATAAACAAGTCCCTCTCCCTCTCTGAGCCATAGTGTCCTCCTCTGTACAATGGGAGTAACTGTCCATAGCACTGCTGACCTCCCAGGGCTGCTGAGAGGCGGCCTCACTTTGTAACCTGGAAAATGTCAGAGGAAGGTGTCCCCAAATGAACCAATGTTGCTGCTGTGGCCTGTTGTCTTGTGTTCTCTCACAGCTGGGGTCAGAAAATGCCCACACATACTCAGCCATGGGTGGGCACTCCATCCAGTTCCTGCCAGTTACTGAGATGCCCATTCCTGCTAAGAACCAGCCTTTCCAGACAACTGAAGATGACTGGCAAAAGAGCAATACTGTGAGGGCAGGTCCAGTACCAACAGCCATGAGGGTGGGGCCAGAGCTCCATCCATCTCAGGCCAGTTACTGAGCCTCTCCACTCCAGACTCCTAGACCCTGGGACAGGCATGATCTGTCCACTTTCCTGCCAGGAACCAATCCCCTAGTCCAACTGCAGATGGGCAGCTTGGTTCTGGCTTCTCCTTCCCCCAACTTAAGCCCAAGGCCATAGATGGCCAGAGCTAGAAGGGACCACAGAAGCCTCAAATCAAACAAATCTGTACCTGAGTGAGAACCTCCCAGTGACATCCCCAAAAGTCCAGTCACTGGGCACCATGTTTAAGAAGGACACCGATGAGCTGAAGAGCTAGAGGAGGGTGATCAGAATGGAGAAGGGTCTGGAATCCATGTCATCTGAGGAGTTATTGAAGCAATTGGGCATTTTTAGCTTGGAGAGAAGAAGATCTGGGGCAGAGGAGTCAGATTAGCTGTCACGTTGCGAAAGGATTTGATTTGAGGCATCAAGGTTAGGGACAAGCCCTTGATGTGAGGTCAGAAGCTGTGGGTTCAAGTTCTGGTCCTGCCATTTGCTACCTGTGGTTTGGGCCCTTTCCCTCTCTGCTTCTCTGTTTCCTCATCTGTACGATGGTAGGATTGGACTCTCTGAGGTCCCTGAGTCTTGGGATCATACAGAATACGGGCCTGTGTATTTGGAGTTAGAGCCTCCGAATTCACTCCTGCTTTGTTCTCTGTTCCCAGGTCTCTTCCCAGCAACTGGGACCTTTCTCTCTTCCCTCCTGGGAAGTGCATGTAGGAGCTAGATATCCCTGGAGATCCAGGAACTATAGGGGCTGGACCCCTCTCTCATCCTCCTTCTTCACTTTTGTGGACAGCAAGGCTCTGGGGGAGTCTTGGAGTTGGGGAAGAAGATGATTGGAGGCCTTCCCTGGCATGCCCTTCTCATCACCAACCCAAGGGCTGGCCAAGAGTGAGGTCACTGTCAGAAGCTGACTGACATCAGCCCCTCTGCCCAACAGACCCCGTCTCTACTGCATCCTCCTCCCCCAATGCCTATAGTGCATCTTGCCTCCCAAGAACCTCTACCAGCCCCCATCTTTCCTCTCTCCCCTTCCGGGGAGACCTCAGGCTTTGGGTCTACAACAAAATATCAGCTCTCTGGGCAGAAAAACACAAGGCTGGGCAAGGAGAAGGGGAAGAGGAAGGGGAACAGGAAGGTACAGGCAGCCTGATGGAAATTGGTGCTGGAATTCTGGATCCATCATCATCGACAAACATTTATCAAGTGCCTACCTGTGTACCAGACACCGTTCTAAACTCTGAGGATACAAAGAAAGGCAAAAAACAGGAGCAGGAACAAATGAACAGGAGTTCATTCTACTAAGGAGAGAAATCAGGTGAAAAATTAACTGTGCACATACAAGATAATCACTAACATTTCTATAGTTATTGCTATTTGTTATATTGGTATACATAGTAATTTTATATATATATATATATATATATATATATATATATATATATATAACTTTCTATTTATATAGCTCTTACCAAGTGCCAGGCATTGTGTTAAGCACTCTACAATTATCTCATGTGATCCTTACAACAATACTAGGAGGTAGGTGCTATTATTATTCCCATTTTGTAGCTGAGGAAATTGAGGCAAAAAAGGTCAAGTGACTTGCCCAAGGTCATATAGCTAGTAAGTAGCTGAGGCCATGTTTGAACTCGGGTCTTCCTGACTCCAAGCTTGGAGATTTATCCACTGTGACTGGTAACTGCCAATACATAAACAGTAGAATTGTCTTTAGATACATAGACAGTAGTGCTAGCAGGGGAGGAGAAGGGGCTGGGAGAGAGGAGATCAGAAAAGGCTTCCTGTAGAAAGTACTTGAGACTTGAAGAAAGCCAGAGAAGCTGGGACATCGAGATAGGAAGGCAGGGCATTCCAGGCAGAGAACACAGCCAGTGCAAATGCCTGGAGTTGGGAGATGCAGTGTCTGGTTGGAGGAATGGCGAAGAGGCCAGTGTCACTGGATCGTAGAATATGTACATGTGAGGATGTAGGGGTGGGTGGGAGGATTAAGGTGTAAGAAAATTGGTGAGGAAGAGGCCAGGTTATGAAGGGTTCTAAAGGCCAAACAGAGGATTTTGTATTTGATCCTGGAAGTGATAGAGGGCCACTCGAGTTTATTTAGGGAGAGTGATATGGTCAGACTTGCACCTTAGAAAGAGCAATTGGACAGCTGAAGGGAAGATGGACTGGAGTGGGAGAGATTTGAGGCAGCAGCAGCAGCTTGTGCAATAGTCCAGGCATGAGGTGATGAGGGTCTGCACTAGGGTGGGGGCAGTCTCAGAGCAAAAAAAAAAAAGGGGGGTATATAGGAGAGATGTTACAAAGATAAAATTGACAGGATTTGGCAACAGATTAAATATGGGGGATGAGAGAGACTGAAGAGTCAAGGCTGACACTTAGTTGCAAGCCTGGGTGACTGGGAAGATGTCACTTAGCAGTAACAGAGAAGTTAGGAGGTGGGGGAGGCTTTAGGGAGAAAGATAATGAGTTCAGGTTTGTCCTCGTTAAGTTACTGGACATGCAATCTTTGATGACTAATAGGAAATAGGAGATTTGAGACTGAAAGTCAGGAGAGATTAAGACTGGATAAGCAGATTTGAGAATCACTATCATAGAGATGATCATTAAGCCCTTGCGAGCTGATGACATCACCAAGCAAGACAGTCTAGAGGAAGATGTGGCATTTAAAAAGTTTGAGAGACATACTTTCAGATAATCTAATGATTTGATAAATAACGCCAGCATTTTAATAAAAGGAAGTGGCACTACGGAATTCCAAAGATCCCTCATGGTGGTGGACTCACAGTTTATATGCCCTTGGAAGAGCAGGTGTTCCTAAGGGTGGCAATCAACTCTGACTGGTTAACAGTTAGTGAGAGAATGAATATTATAATGGAAAGTAGGCTACACTACAATGAAGATCTTGGGGTACCTGACTGGGATGAGCCAAGTCTTGGTTAAAGAGACTTATCAATTTCCATGTCACCTACCTGATAAAAGGGAGAATTAATATTTTCCAAGATCTGTCTGAGTAAACATAATGAGCAGGAATCAAACCCATTCATGAGCCTAAGCTGAGATTTCTTTTACTGCCTTATTAGACCCTAGCCTGAGGAAGTCTTTGAGCAAGATTTCCCACACTGGTTGATTTCTGGATGAGGAAGAAGAAAAAGAGAAAACCCTGGTCCTGATCCAATAATTAGTTATTAATATAAGAGAAAAAGAGTCATTCTCAAAGAGAAGACAGAACACTGGGGGAGTCAGCAGGGTGACCTGGATGAAGATCCAGCAAAGGAACCCATGAAGCAGAAAGAGGAAGACACTAGGAGAGAACGGCAGAATTAGTTAAGGATGCTTGTTACGTCCCTCTCCATCACCATCTCTGACTCCTCTTTCTCTTGAGGAATGTTGCCTGCTGCTCCACCTTGCTCTCTATAAGAGCAAAGCGCTCACTGACAGAGAGATGCCAAGACAGGGTTTGCAGTCTTGGCAAGGCATCAGAAGCCATCAAGTCTCCCTGAAATCCAACAGGGTATAAGGGGCTCCCTGAAGGGCAAAGGACTCCTGGATGACCTGGATGAGAAGGCTGCCTAGAAGAGGTGGCATTGAAGCTGGCCTTTATAGGAATTCTAGGAGGAGGGAAAAGTCATTTCTAGTCTTTAAAGAGCATTTATTAAGCACCTACTATATGTCAGGCATTGTGCTAAGTGCCTGGGTAACAAAGAAACACAAAAGTTCCTGATCTCAAGGAGCTCACCATCTAATGGGAAAGACAACATGCAAATACGATCTCTCTCTGTCTCTCCCTCCCTCCCTCTCTCCCACCATCTCTCTTTCTCCTCACCCTCCTTCTCTCTCTCTCTCTCTCTCTCTCTCTCTCTCTCTCTCTCTCTCTCTCTCTCTCTCTCTCTCTCTCTCTCTCTCTGTTTCCCTCCCTCCTATCATCTCTCTTTCTCTCTTCCCTCCCTTCTCTGTTTCTACACACACACACACACACACACACACACACTGCAGGAAGGGAACACGAACAAAAATTTGATGTAATGGCATAGGTGTGCTCAAAGTAACTCCAAAATAGGACAACATATCAGAATTCCTGAGGTCAGCATTTGTAGATTAATTGGGAATAGTCTCAGAGGGAAGGCACTAAGATTAAGGAGGACTGAAAAAAAACTTCTTGCAAAGAAGGTGAGATTAGCTGAGACTTCAGAAAAGTCAGGAGGTAGAGATGAGAAGGGAGAGCATTCCAGGCATAGGAGACAGCAGGCACAGAAAGGCAAAGGTCTGGAGGAGGGAACATGCAGTTTTTGTGCAGGCATGCAGAAGATGAAGAACAGTATGGTCTTCCCTATCACTTGCCCCAGGAACTGGGATCAGAGGTCTTCATACTGGAAGACTCTCTCCACTTCCCTTCGGCCACTAGGCCCCCTCCCTGTCAGGGAGGTGGGGGCCAGACTATGGAGGAGAGAACATGCACCATCCCAGCCCTTCTTTGGCCCCACTGTGATCACAGGGGAGAGAAATGCTGAAGTGAGATGTCCAGGTGCTGCCCCCCTTACCACAGCCTCCCTGAATGACCATTATAGAGCGAAGTCTACCTTTCCCCCCAGTCTTATTTATGTGAGGAGAAACAGCATAACCTAGTAGCTCAAAAGCCAGCCTCAAAGCCAAGAAGACTTGGGTTCAAGTTGAGTCCATGGACAGTGTTACCTGGAGCTGATCAAGTGCCAAGGGCGCTCTCTAAGACCAT